CCTTTCTGCCCAACAATCATTTCTATCCGTCACTGGGCGTCTGCTCAACAAGGCCTATAAGGATATTTGACTTGGATTTTAAACACGTTCAATAGGCCATGTATCCTATTGCCATAGCATTTTTCCTGAACAGGTCTTCTATTAGGTTAGACACAATCAAAGAAGCCACTGCTACAAATCCTTGGTTTTTCTCCGTGTCATGAAGTAAAAATTCAAATTTCAATTTAGCCATCATCCAGAAACGGGGAGCTTGTGATGAATAAAGAATGGCCTCAGTTATATACATCGCGGGAATACCTCCCGAATCAGCGTGAGCTTTTTTGGTCTTTTCTTTAGTGAACGCTTTAGAACTTATCACCAATCGTTATAGTGAATGGCCGCTTTGACCAACAAATGAAAAGCGTAGTGGGCACTGGATCTGCCTTACGGTGTGCTATCGATAAACACCACAGGTGAGGGCACAGTTCGGACAATTCGTCGAGATCGCGTCTAGGAGAAACCATCTGCGGCATGCCCTGAGTCACCTGTCCAAGAATATACGCTAATTCAGGGTACGTCCCAAGTGATTATGCTGTGGGTGCACTCGTCGTTTTTGCTCTCGAAATTTCCAAGAGCAGCGTTGCTTAAGTGTCTAGATGAACTTAGCCGAGGTAGATCCCCTGATGATGGACTGATGTTCCAATCGGGAACCACAGTATAAGATACTCCTCATTTCGATCGACGCTGCAATCCAACAACTCTCATAGATTCTCATGCAATTTTTGGGCATATGATCCGATCTCAAGTGGGCAAGTGATATTTGTGCGCCACATAGAGGAATTCTATGAGGGATCCTATAGGGAACGACCGACACTCAGCGATTGAATGGCGGCAAGGAGACAGACATTCTTAACAAAACAAAAGCCACAATGGTCCATGGGTTTGATTCTCTAGTCAGCAATTGTCAGTGCGGGGGAAATGAGACAAAACGAGACAACATTGAGACACTAGGGTACCTAACTCCATGGGCTCGACTCAAATATGAACGTGGCGGTGGCGGCGGCCGAGGACGAGGGAACGGCGCCGCAAAATGGATTTCATGACATCGCATAAGAACTTATTGGCACGCATATGATGGTAATCCTACTCATTACTACAAATTGCTGTCGGCGCGTACCGTCTGTGATTTGCCTACAACAAGTGCAGTATTGCCAGCCCTGTTACATTATCATAGGCTTAGTTTTTCGGTAGTGATAAGGACAGATCATCGCTCTCAATTGGTGAAGACTTTTATGAGAAAATGTTACTGAGTGGATGGAAACATTGAAAAAAGTATACAAGTTATTCAGCAATAGTTTCTATTTCTTACATGTACAGCTCACATCCTTGACCCGGCCTTGAACGATGGGCGTGCCACGGCTTAACTTGTGGTAGTCACAGCCCCAGACCGACTGCCCCATCTGACAGAAATGTTGCCGCTCCTAATAACGCTCGTCTTATTAGCGGCTGATAGGCACACAATCAAGTTCAACAGCGCCATTCGTCTATATTTTGATTGTCAGCATTGACTAGTGCTAGAAACCTTCAGCAGAGCTAGACTTACAAAGTGGTCACCCTGACAACATAAATTGTAAGGTCTACTAGAACAAGCTGGAAATGATCGACAATCACGAGCGCTAAAGGGAAAGGCATGAAGGGGAGGCCCTTCGAAACAAAAAGGAAATGCATACACAGCTGTCTCTCCTAAATCGACTGTTTGATCGAGGTAGTGAATAATATAATCGACGTCTTTGCTGTCGGCCTGACCACATCGAGTGTTTCGGTAATGCTTACTATGGACGGGAACCTGTACTTACAAGTCCAAAATGCCGACAACATTTGTGATCGCGAGCAGCGCACTGACTTTTCGGAATAGACTACATGCCAATACAGTGAGTTATGAGATCTAGAGCCACGATTGGAGACTTACAGTGGTCGCAGCAGACACAAGCAGGGCGGATGCCACAAACACAGCAAGGGCTCGAAGAAACATGATTTATCTCTGGAGGGCAGTACCGTCAGACTTTGTACGAGTTCTCTATCACCACCAGTTGCTGGCAGTGTCATATGACCTACCTTCAGCTTCAACAAAGCGGTAATGGATCAGGACCACTGGAAACGAGTCTTATATAGACCTCAAGCGCTGACAACTCAATCTACACATTTAGGGCACGTCAGAAACCTGTCAGCAAGGATCTACTGAGGCATAAAGGCTATGACCCGAGGTCAGTTGAGTGAATTTGAACCTTCTTGAAAAGGCAAAGCATGTCATGGATAGACCATCCAACATTCGTGTGGGTTTGGGAAGCCGGAAATATATCAGAGCTTGTGTGACACTGGCGTGGCAGAGACCTCGGTTTCAGATTATCAATACATACAGCTCGATGATTACTTGGATTTTTATTCTGCCGTCTAAAGTAGTTTTTTCAAATTTGGCCATCATTCAAACGCGGGGATATCGGTAGATTCCTTACAAGATCCCTTGAGCTCGTGGATGGCTAGAAGGAATGGCGTTTGCTTAAGACAATACTCGGTATATTAACAACTGTATTAGTTATGTACCTGTTTGAGACAATAAAACGGTTCATTAGTATCTATCTATTGTGCACAAGTGACTGAATAGGACCCATCTCCGAGGTGTCCCGACTTCCGCTTCCGATAAATTCAATACTGGAGTTCTCCCATTTCCATTCCATATTGATATGTAATATAAGATACACTATGAATACATTTCCACATCCACAGAGGGCGCAAAGAAGCACCCACATGCATGTCCCTTTTACGTGTTTCGGATATATCGATAAATACACCTCGATATTTCTCTAAATCTTTAGTATGGAGTAGAGTTCGAAAAACGCGCGATATCTAGGGATTCCTTACAAGATCCTTCTATTCTATCCTCCTCATTCATTCATCCTGTTCATCTTTTCCTTACTTCTTGAGTGGAAGAAGCAAAAAAAAGGTTCCGAGTCGGATTGTGGTGACCCTTCACATTCTTTGAGTTACTTCTTGATTGAATGAAGCAAATCAAAGTTCCGAGTCGGACTTTTATCAGGACAGATACTTCTCACGTCTGAAAAGGTGTACGGGATTATTGTTGATTTTGTGGCGTTGTTCATCGGGACCGCTCATTTCGGCCGCGCCCCATCTCTATGTAGACAAAGAGATACACTAAGAATACATTTCCATATCAACGGACGATGCAAAGAACTATATTTCACGTCCTCCAAGCGCCCTTTGCAGCAAGTTTCTTCCTACTCGAAGCAGCAGTTGCGCTGTCATCTCGCCCACTTGTCAATCCCGACGGGTTCTTCGCTCGCGTAGGAGTCCTGCCCGGTGTAGGCGCTGATGTCGAGTGTGGACAGGACTTTGAACGTGAATGAGAGTGAGAGTGCCGGGATGACGCGCTTGAAATGCTGAGGCCGGACTTGGTAGTATGCTTAAGCGCCTGAGTAACACGTGGCTGTGTAGCGATGTGTAGTGTTAAAGGAGAGGGGGTTTGCAACGTAGAAGGAGATGATCTAGATGACAATGTAGATTGGGGGCTCGAAACGGGCGAGGTATCTACTTCCTTCTCGAATACGTCCCGTTGGGATTCGACCTGATATTCATCGTCGCACTCAGGGATCGTAGTTAGTGCCCGCGTATGCTGTGGGTCAGACTCCCAAGTGAATACGAGCGCACGCATGAACGCCTCCGAGAGCTCGCCATCTTCCTCCTGCTCATCGTGCTTCTCCGCACTGCGTCGATGGACACGGGCCGGCGTAGGCGAGGCATACCCGTCGTCATCGTCGTCATCGTCGCTAGGACCCAGAAAGGGATTTCTCGGATTGAACGAGCGGCGGATGCCCACAAGTCCTAGGCCGTCAAAGTCGCCAGATTTCCCGTCTCGGCGTGGTACACCGGAGATACCGAGGCCTACAAGGTGAGATGGAGATGGCGTATGGGGAAATGAGGAGTTGAATTGAACAAGGCACCGAGGAGAGAATAGATCATTTGTGTCAATGGAACGCAACGGAGTTATCAGATCGGAATATGAGGATGACGTTGACGTGTCGCTACTGAGAGAGACGTCAAAGGAGCAGCTGGCAGTATCGGCGGCGGCGGGGGTCAAGGAGACCTTAGGATTGGCAGCGGCGCCCTTGAGGTAGGGGTTTGTCGAAAGAATGAGGCCGCGGGCGAGGCAGGGAATACCTGGACTGGATGTTGTCGATTGGGGCGTCCGAGGCGTCACCGGTGTGGCGGAGTCTGGCAGTGCAAAGAGGGAGAGGCGTGAAAGGATTGAAGACACGTATCGCGCTACAAAAGACATGGGAGCAATGAGCGTGTGTGCAGGATAGAATGTAGTGGTGTGCTTTTACTCCAGAGAAATACTTCCTGGCTGCTTTTGAAGGCTTGTTTTGCGGCTAACACTTTTCGTTTTCCATCCCGTGGCTGACAGAGAGTCGAAGAGTCGACCACGCACGGCTCTCCATCCAGCCTCTAAACTTTGAAAATAGCGAAAGCGCGGAGGTGCTGCGCATCAATGCCATTCAATGCTGTCATTCCGTATGGAAAATCAAAATATGAACTTGAGCAATGAGCAATATGAACGAACACACGTCAATCATGCCTGATGTCACAATTGTAACTCCTATACAGACCTCGCACTGAACTATGATTGCTCGAGGATATACGATGGTCAATCAAGTCGTTGATGTCGCTGACCGTGGTGATTACGAGATAGGATATAAACGGAGTTTCGTGATTCGTGATCATAACTTCTTGATCAGTGACGCCTACTTTGGCGACCATCATAGCCTTTTTGTGCTCTTTTCAACTGCATGTAGTCCTTAGTCCTCATTACTTTACCTGATCATTGTCGTCCTCTTCCGCTTGATATTTTCCACTGGCATACTCGGATTTTGGCTCTCATGCTTTGTCTCTTTCCGCACTCAAATGTCCGACCTGTACGGATGAGCCTTTGTATCACACTAACCAATGGTGAGATGGCCGAGCGGTCTAAGGCGCCAGACTAAGGTATTCTTATCTGGTCTCTTCGGGGGCGGGAGTTCGAATCTCCCTCTCATCATGACCAAGTCGCAAAAATATTTTGCCACCCATTGTTTTGTGATAATGTTATGGTTATGTTACTATCATTAAGATCTGCTTGCCAAATCAGTCGAGAATCTCATTAACAACTACATACATATATATCCCTCATGGTTACCGTGGGCACCCAAGTTGTCAGTGCTCAAATTGTTCAATTTCTTAGCACTGCTAGTGGGCAGTTAGAATCTTCCAAACAGCCAGCATGTTGAGCAGTATGTATTTCGAGCAACTTCAACTTTGATGAAAAGATATACAACAGTCATCTTATTGTTGAGCACCTACACTAGTGACCTAGTCAAGTGTTACCATATATTATCAGAAACCAGGTGATCTGACAACCATGATACTAGTTTGATTCTTCCTTGTAAAGTATCTGAAGGCCCTCAACACAAATATCAACACCACATATCAAAGTATACATTCCCCTCCTCATCTTTATTATCCCTCATTCTACCTTCTCCTCATCAACCATATCCATCAAGAAGTCATCTGGACTAGGCTAGGAGAAGTATCATCTACATCCAATTACCATCAAAGACAGATCCTTCTGTATGGACAGCACTGTCTTGGGAAGCTACAGACAAGCATCCATCCATCAATTAAAATGATTCAGAAAAGCAGAAAAGACAATTAGAAAACAGAACAACAGCTCACTTCCTTGACCCATCTCCTAAAATTGTCCCAATCACAACATACTTGGATATTTGGATCCAGCAAGGCATCTTCCTAACATGCTTGTGATGTTCTCAGCCATGAGATATGTTGTAAGAGTAATGCTTCTATACTGGATTGAGCACTCCTTCACATGTGGACATGCACACCTCATTTTCATGCAGAGCTTCAGAGTGTGCAGAGTGCAACTGCATATATTTGAATACATATTTAAATTCAGTTTGGGTCCAAGAAGAGAATGAGGCTTTTGATTTATTTGCTGC